TTCTCTTATCCCCTTTCCCTTCTATTTTCCTGTAGGGCAGGATAGACTTCTGTACCCCATTCCCTGTATTTCTTATTTCCCAGTAGCATGTGAAAACATTTTAAAAAACATATATTTTTAAAACTTTAGGTTTCAAATTTTCTCTCTTCCTCCCTCCCCACCCACCCTCATTGAAAAGGCAAGCAACTCAATATAGGTTGTACATGTGCAGTTATGCAAAACACATCCATAGTAGACACGTTGTGAAAAACTAACTCTATTTCCCTTAACCCTATTCTGCCCTCCCGTTTATTCTATTCTTTCTTTTGACCCTGTCCCTCCTCAGACATATTTACTTCTGATTACCCCTTTCCCAATCTGCCCTCCTCTCTATCATCCCCTGCTCTCTTGTCCCCTTCTCCCCCTATTTTCCTGTAGGGTAAGACAGATTTCCATACCCAATTGAATGTATGTTATTCCTCCTTAAGCCAAATCCTATGAGAATAAGATTCACTCATTCCCTCTCACCTTCCCTGTTTCCCCTCCACTGTAGAGACTTTTCTTTGTTTTTTTGTGAGATAATTTACCCCATTCTACCTCTCCCTTTCTTCTCCAGTATCATCCTCTCTCATCCCTTAATTTTATTCTCCAGATATGACCCCTTAATCTTCAACTCACCCTGTGCCCTCTATCTATATATACATACATATAATTTTTTTCCTTCAACTACCCTTATACTGACAAAGTTCTCATGAGTTAAAATATCATCTTTCCATGCAGGAATGTAAACAGTTCAATCTTAATAAGTCTCTTATGATTTCTCTTTCCTGTTTACCTCTTCATGTTCCACTTGAGTCCTGTATTTGAAAGTCAAATTTTCTATTCAGCTCTGGTCTTTTCATCAGGAATGCTTTAAAGTCCTCTATTTCACTGAATGACCATTTTTTCCCCTGAAGGATTATACTCAGTTTTGCTGGGTAGGTGATTCTTGGTTGTAATCCTATCTCCTTTGCCCTCCAGAATATTATATTCCATGCCCTGCGGTCCTTTAATGTAGAAGCTGCTAAATCTTGTGTTATCCTGATTGTGTTTCCACAGTACTTGAACTGTTTCCTTCTGGCAGCTTGTAATATTTTCTCCTTGACCTGGGAACTCTGGAATTTGGCTATAATATTCCTAGGAGTTTTCCTTTGGGGATCTCTTTCAGGAGGAGATCTGTGGATTCTTTCAATTTCTATTTTGCCCTCTGGTTCTAATATATCAGGGCAGTTTTCCTTGATTTCTTGAAAGATGATGTCTAGGCTCTTTTTTTGATCATGGCTTTCAGATAGTCCAATAATTTTTAAATTCTCTCTCCTGGATCTATTTTCCAGGATTTTTTTCCAATGAGATATTTCCCATTGTTTTCTAATTTTTCATTCTTTTGGATTTGTTTTACTGTGTTGTGATTTCTCATAAAGTCACTATCTTCCAATTGCTCTATTCTAATTTTTAAGGAAGTATTTTCTTCAGTAATCTTTTGGACTTCCTTTTCCATTTGGCCAATTTTGCTTTTTAGGGCATTCTTCTCCTCATTGGCTTTTTGGACCTCTTTTGCCATTTGGGTTAGGCTATTTTTTAAGGTGTTATTTTCTTCAGTATTTTTTTGGGTCTCCTTTAGCAAGCTGTTGACTTGTTTTTCATGATTTTCTTGCATCACTCTCAGTTTTTCCTCTGCTTCCCTTACTTGCTTCTCAAGATCCCTTTTGAGTTCTTCCAAGGCCTGGGACTGATTCATATTTTTCTTGGAGGCTTTGGATGTAGGAGCTTTGACTTTGCTGTCTTCTTCTGGCTGCATATTTTGATCTTCTTTTTCACCAAAGTAAGACAATTTAGTCCGATTCTTTTTGAGCTGCTTGCTCATGATCCCGGCCAATTACTTGAGTTTTAAATTCTTTGTTAAGGTACAAATCTGCTTCTAATGTGGAGAATGTACTGTCCCAAGCTTGGGGGGTTTGTACAGCTGTTTTCAGAGGTACTTGTAGGGCCCTGTAAATTTTCAGTTCTTCCAAGGTGGTATGATAAGGGGCGAGGTGTTTACTCCTTTCCTGGCCTGTGACTACAAGTACTCCTTTCTGTCCTATAACTGTGAGAAGGGGTTCCTCTCCATAGCCACTACAAGCTCCACCATGCCAGGGCTCCTCCTCACCCCAGCACACCACCGCCCAGAACTGTGACCCAGATCCAAACACAGGTAAAGCAAGAGATTCCTGCCTCAGCACTGGCAAAGAGATCCCTGCAATTCCCCCTCAGTCCATGGGCTGGAAGCTTGGGAAGCAGCTACCCCCCCAGGACCACGCTCTTGGGGAATGGAGCTGAAACCCCACCTTCCTTTCTCAGCACCAACAGCAACAGACTTTTCCCACTGACCTTCTAAGTTGTCTTTGGCATTGGTGGATTGAGGAGTCTGGAAACCTCCACAGCTGCCTGAGATTCAATCCTCTGAGGCCTGCTCCAGGTTCGCTGGACCTGCGCACCCACACCCCGCTGTGCTGCGCTCCCAGCCTGGCACAATATACCTTTCTGATCAATCATCCAGGTTGGGCTGGAAATTTGTTTCACTCTGTCTTTTTGTGGGTTCTGCTGCTTCAGAATTTGTTTAGAGCCATTTTTTTATGAATATTTGGAGGGGTTTGGAGGAGCGCTCAAGCAAGTCGCTGCTTTCACTCTGCCATCTTGGCTCCGCCTCAACAATATTATTTAACATTGTATTAGGAATAAAAGCAATAGCGGTAAGAGAAGAAAAAGAAATAGAAGGAATCAGAATAAGGAATGAGGTAATAAAACTATTTATTTTTGGAGATGATCTGATGATATGCTTGGAAAATCCCAAAGATTCAACTAAAAAGTTAGTTGAAACAATTAATAATTTTAGCAAAGTAGCAGGATATAAAGTAAATCCACATAAATCATCAGTATTCCTATATATCACAAACAAAACTGCAAGAAGAGATAGTAAAAGATATGTCATTTAAAATAACTCTAGACAGTATAAAATACCTGAAAGTATACCTGCCAGGACAAATCCAGGAACTATATAAAGAAAATTACTTAAAAAAACCCCAACTTTTTATACAAATAAAATCAGATGTATATGATTGGAGAAATAGTAATTGTCCATGGATAGGCAGGGTCAATATAATAAAAATGACAATTTTGCCCAAACTAACTTATATATTCAATGCCATCCCAGTTAAATTACCAGAAAATTATTTTACTGAATTAGAAAAAATAATAACAAAATTCATTCAGAAGAACAAAAAGTCAAGAATATCAAAGGAAATAATGAATAAAATATAAAGGAAGGAGATTTAGCAGTGCCAGATCTTAAACTATATTATAAGATAGTAATTATCAAAACCATCTGGTACTGGCTAAGAAATAGAAAGGTAGATCAATGGAATAGAGTAGACATATAATCTACAGCAGCAAATAAACAAAATAACCTTGTATCTGACAATGTAAAGATTTAACATTTGGTTTTTGATATTTTTGATTTCCAAATTCTCTTCCTCCCTCCTTTCCCTTTCCACTTCATTGAAAAGGCAAACAATTTGATACAGGTTATACATGTGCAGTCATGAAAAACATATTTCCATTTTAGTCATTTTTTAAAAATTCATTTTGTTCTTAGATACATAAAGACAAAAAAAATGAACACTTCTATGTACACAGCACAACACAAAAAGAGGATTCACTATAAAACCATGAATTTACATTTCACACTGTTTAACTTTTAAAATTTTTTTTAAATTTTAGACTAAAGTACTAAAACTTAAATATATAATAAGAAAAGAAAAAGAAACATATTATAAACTTAAATATTAAAACTTAATATATAATAAGAAAGGAAAAAAGAAACATTATAAACTTAAATATTAAAACTTAAATATATAATAAGAAAGGAAAAAAACATTATAAACTTAAATATTAAAACTTAAATATATAATAAGAAAGGGAAAAAGAAACATTATAAACTTAAATATTAAAACTTAAATATATAATAAGAAAGAGAAAAAAACATCACACGTATAGCAGAACACAAGAGAGGATTCAAAATATATAGCAATAAATTTCCATTTCAAGAAAGCCCATATGTTAAATACTACTCATTGTGTTGAAAGCTGCTCATCTTTTCTTTGCTTTCTTGTAAGTTTTCTTTGGTTTTCTGCAGTACACTTTTGACTTTGTTCTTTTTTCTCCCTTCCTCCCCCCACCGCCAAAGGCTACAATTAAGCATGGATAAACAATCGTAGACATACAGTTTACATTTTACATACATAAAAAGTAAAGAGTCTGTTCTTATTAAGTCCCTTGTAATTGATCTTTGGTATGCCCCTTATGTTTCTCTTAGCTCTTGTATGTCAAATCTATTAAGTTAAGGTTGGTTTTTGTTACAAAGTCCTGAAAGTCTGACAATTCATTAAATGTCATTTTTTTTTCATTCAGAATTATGCTTAGCTTTGCTGGGCATGATATTTTTGGCTAGAGGCCCAGTTCTTTTGCTCTGTGATATATAGTATTTCAAGACCTGCGGTTACCACTGCTAAGTCCTGTGTGATTCTAATTGTGGCACCACCATATGTAAATTGTCTTTTTCTTGTTGCTTGTAACATTTTATCTTTGAGCTGGGGGTTTCGGAATTTGACTATAATATTCAGAAATGTCTTGGATCATTATATTGCTGAGAATAGCTAAGTCATTCACAGTTGATCACCATACAATATTGCTGTTACTGTATATAGTGTTCTCTTGGTTCTGTTCATTTCACTAGCAAAGGCACTTAGTGAAAGACATATATAGATATGGAATTAATTAAGTGCTCATTTTCCTTCAGGCACTGTACAAAGTGCCAGAGATACAAATATTAATACCAATAGCTAGCATTTACATAGTGCTTTAAGGCTGACAAAGAGCCTTGCAAATATTATCTCACTTTCTCTAACTCTAGGAGGTAGGTGCAATTATATCCCCATCTTACAGATGAGGAAAGTAAGGCTAACTGAGGCTAAGTGACTTGTCCAGGGTCACACACTATTATGTGTCTAAGGCAGAAGTTGAACTGGCTCCATGCCGATCTCAGTATTCATTGTGCCTTCAGGGAGCTTACATTTGAATAGCAGAAGACAACACACAAAGGCGAGCTGGAATGGGATAGGTGATATGCTCTGTAGCTAGCGTGGAGATGACCAGGAAATGGCATGGAGCCCTGGTGCTGGACAAGAAAAAGTGAAAACTCACTTATCAGAGATCAGGGTTGATGCGATGGAGTTCCGATAGGAGAGGGGAGGAATGAGGACATTGGAGAGAATGACATTGAAGAGGCCAGTAAAGAGAAGTAATGATATCTCTCCTCCTATAAACCTAAGGCAGAGTTTGCCAGCAATATACACCATCAAAAGGAAGCATGGACACATGTAGACCACACCTGTGGTCATCCGTGCCCAGGGCACAGGTCTGGAAAAATCAGTGCAAGCCTCTAAGACTTTAGGATGAACTATGTCTTTGTTGGTTGATACTGTTGGATTGCTTTTATCCGTGTTGCTCTCAGCTGATCTCCTGTGTCATGCAGACTCTGCCCAGCATAATTCCATGATCTTGTGTTTGCAGTTGGCAAGGCTCTCTGGAACATGAGGGTCTGTATAAATGACTTTTCTATGCTGTCAATCCATCAGTCAAAAATTGTACACCTGCCAGAAAACCACACACTTTGCTTTAAAAGGTCTCAAGTACACTGCTAAGGTGGCTTTTTAACTTCTGCATTTTTATAAGAAGTTGTACTTTGGGATCTGATGCTTCCATCTGCTCTCAAATCCTGACGCAAGCTGGAAATTCAGCTGAGCTGCTACCTCTTTCTCATAGGAGGATGATTGGGTTCTGCCACTATGGATCTTTTTAAAAATGTATCTATTTATTCGTTTCTTCATTCATTTATTTATTATTACCCAGAAAACTCTTACAACAGCACAGCTCTTTTAAAAGGCAAGAGAGCCTTCAGACACCTAATGATGATACCAGAGGAAAAAACCCTAGAGGATTTTTTCTCAATAACGTAAAATGCATCTGTTTTCTCCAGCCTTGGCTAGAATGGGCATTTCCCATTCAGAAGGAGATTTCTTGACCCCAGGGCCCTGAAACAGAACTGTTCTTTCTAACTCATTAGTTCAGACTTAATTATGTTTTCTTACTTTGATTTCCTGGTCACCAGGGGCAAGGTCTCTGTCACAGGGCTCTCTTACTTAGAATTAGGATTTCTTGGGCTTGCTGCTTAACTTCTGATTGCTCAACTGCACCTTATCTCTGTCTATTTAGAGAATACATTTCCAGAAAACTGTCTAGAATGGGTTAGGGCACCCTCAGTTTTTCAATCCCCAAATGGGTTAGAGGAGGAAAAGATATAGGAATAAAGCTAAGAACAAGAGGCAGGATCATGTTCTTCCCCCTACCCATACCTGACTGGCCTCATTCTTGCCTTTGCTGTAGATACATGGCTAGCAAGGAGCTGACTTACTCACAGGTGTCTTCCGTGTGTCTCTTGATCTGAATGGAAGCCATTTGGACAAGCTGTCAAGCCCTCCTCTAGTCTTCTCTCATTCTCGTGATACACTACTGCTTGTATGTTTCCTCTTGTGAGAATGTCTAGGGATGAGAAGAATGACTGTCCAAGAAGACTGATCGCATCCGTCATATGAACTTAGTCTACTGACCAGAATATCCAGGACTCAGAACCCATCTCCTCCTTCCCCTTTCCAAAAAGTAAAACCAATGCAATTCACTACCCAAGTCCCATCGCCCCAACACAGCCACAATCCCTCTTATCTTCAGGTTACCTTTAATTTTGCAAGGGGAACTCTTTACTTTACAAAGAAAACACCAAACTGCCACCAGGAGCACCAGGCTGCCCAGCAGGGACCACCAAATCCATGGATTTGTGTTAGACTTTCTAGTCACAGTGCCTAAAACAAGAAGTTAGGATCAATCAGAATCAACCTGTTGTGGGGAAAGGGTAAAGAGGATGGGGATGGGAGTAGGTGATAGAAGCAAGGATGGGGAGGAGGTGCAGGGATAGGAAGGAGCAGAGAATAGGAAAGAGGGAGTACTAGAGATTTTACTCCTTGTAGAATTTTTTTGGCATCTAGGTAAACAAGAACCAGGAAAATGGTGGTGGGGAGTATGGAAAGAAGAGGAATAAAGAGAGAAAAGGGCCTAGAACAGGGGTGGGGAACCTGCGGCCTTGAGGCCATATGTGGCCCTCTAGGTCCTCAAGTACAGCCCTTGACAGAATCCAAACTTCACAGAACAAATCCCTAGATGGTTGGAACAGAGAGCAGAGATACAAAGATGATCAGCTAAGCTATGAATAAGATATGACAATAGGCAGCATCTTAAGTATTTCTCTTCTAGAGTTCTCCCCTACCCAGGATTTACTAAGCTCCTTCAGTTCTTCAATTTCTCCCCAGAAAGCCTTCCTTCTCTCCCAATGCACACCAGTTCTCTTCCTCTAGTACACCTCCCTACCTCTTACATCTTGTCTCTCTCCTGTCAGTGTGGGTGCACCCAGAAGACAGGGATGGTGTTTCTACCTTACTACTTCAGGAGCACATTCACCCCTTAAGGAGGGTTCTTCAGGGCAATTCCCACAGGGAGGGCTAAGGAAGGACTGAGTGACTGACCAGCTCAACGACCTTCACATACTTCCCCAGGGAAGGTAAGTCTATAATTCAGTAAATCCTATTCATTCATTTGGGCTGCCTCTTAAGTTTCAGATCTTGGAACAGTCTTTCCAACCTCAGTCTTCTATCTTCTACCTTCCACTTATGTAAGGAAAAAGCAGCTCTATCCCTCCTTCCCTTTCTAAAAGGCAAAGTTGGAGGTGACACAGGTTTTGAAAAGGTTTGAAGATGGGAGAGTGGAAGGAAGTTTTTTAAAGTGTACAAGTGTGTGGTAGCAAGAAGGGTTCCAAATGGAGACAAGTGGCTCATTTACCAAAGACAGTTAAATTGAACTTTTCAATATATATCTCTCCTGAGACTGATATGATATGAGCTTCATAACTTCCACTGTCTTCAGGGGTCAGATTTGTGATCTTCAGAGATTCTCCATCAGGAACAGACAGCCTCCCCTTGTATTCCTTCTGGGGAATGATCCAGTGTGGACTGCTCTCCCCTGACCAGATGGTGAGTAGGCTCAGATTCTTAGATAGAAAATACCATTTAATCAACAGGGTCTCGTTTCCAATTTTTGAATCTGGACACAACAGAACATAATCTCCCTGAGTCCTGTTCAGAGAAGACATCTTCCCTGATATGATGCCAATACCTGTGAAAGGATAGAATAAGATTTATCAGAGAATAGGAAAAGTGGCCCTTTACTCACCTGAGACAGACAAGGGAATTAAAAATACAGGAAGGTCCTGAAAGAGGTTTACCTACATGTACTGCAGGCATCTGAGTCTCATGTGTCTTTCCCTCCAAACCTGACCCTTCTCCAGACTTCCTTCCTTCTCCTGAGGGCACCCACCACGATCTCAGCTTCCCAAGTGTGGAGTCTTGTATTCGACCATGACATTCCCTCTCCTACTTTTCATAGTCAATTGGTCACCAAGTTTTATCTCTTCTACCTCTATAGACCTGGGAAAGACTTTGATTTTAAAAGGCCAAAGTCACCCACGCATCCTGGGCCATCGCTAGTCATCCAAACCTTTGTCTTGCCACTGGACTCCAATGACCCTGGAGGAGAGAGGGAGGCTGGTGACTTTGTGCAGTTCTACCTCACTCAAATCCAATTCATGGTGCAAATCATGACATCACACTCATGACATCATCAGTCCTCTTTGAGAATGAAGGATGAACAACAATAACAACATATATAATCTATTCTTTCTATTGACATAGCCACCACCCTAGACCAGGTTCTCACCACCTCTTGCTTGGACTATTGTAATAGCCTCCAGATTCATCTCCCTATTTCTATTCTCTCTCTTCCCTGGTCTATCCTCCACATAGCGACCATCACCCTCCCTGTTCAAAAGCCTTCAGGGGTGTTTGTTGCCTTTAGAATGAAAATACAAATTCTGGAGCCTTTCTAGCTTTCATATGTTCTTTCCTTTTATGCTTTCTTCATTCCAGACAAACTTGACTATTAGACATTCCTTGTCTGCATTTCTCAACTTCTGCATTTTCCATTTCCATATCTTCACCTACGGCTAGAGAGCATACTTTGCTTGCCTGCATCTATCTGAATCCTCACTTTCAAGTTTCAGCTCATGTGGTAGCCACTACTGTATATTAGAAAGTGGGCAGTTGCCGCCCGAGAGTTTCTCTTCCTTTATCTCCGGTCCCCCATGGCCTCGCAGGACTGTGACCCGGCCGCTGCCAGTGCCGCCACCGCCCATAAGGGTCCGTGGGCAAGAGTTTACAGCAGGAATTGATGACCCTAATGATGTCTGGAGACAAAGGAATCTCTGCCTTCTAAGAGTTAGACAATCTCTTCCAGTCGGTTGGGACCATCCATGGGCCAGCTGGTACAGTATATGAAGACCTAGGGTACAAGCTCTCCTAGGAATTCCCCAGTGGCTACCCATACAATGCTCCCACTGTGAAATTTGTCACACCTTGTTACCATCCTAATGTGGTCACCCAAGGCGATATCTGTTTGGACATTCTCAAAGACAAGTGGTCAGCTCTGTATGATATCAGGACCATCCTACTATCTATCCAGAGCCTGCTGGGAGAACCCAACATTGACAACCCATTGAACACACATGCTGCTGAATTTTGGACAAATCCCACAGCCTTTAAAAAGTACCTGCTGGAAACCTACATGAAGCAGGTGACTAGCCAAGAGCCCTGACCCTGGCTGCCCAGCCGACCTTCCTACATCTTGTGTATATGTGTATGTGTGGGCGTCTATCTTTTTCCCTTCCTCATAACCTGTCTTCTCCTCTTTTCCGTACAGGACTCTGTTTCATAGACTGTTTTCCTTTCCTTTTTTCCCCCCGTAAACTTTTGTCCAGCCCTCAACGTTAATGTATAAATAAATAAAGTTTTGTTGTTTTTTTTAAAAAAGAAAAAAAAAGAAAGTGGATTGGAATTGGCATCAGAGCCTCACTTTGGTTCTAGGAAATTAGGGCAAAGATACTGGAGTGGTTTGCCATTTCCTTGTCCAGTGGATTAAGACAAACAGAAGTTTAAGTGACTTACCCAGGGTCACATAGCTAGTAAGTATCTGAGGCCAGACTTGAACTCAGGCCTACCTGACTCCCCAGGCCCAGTGACCTGTCCACTGAGCCATCTAGTTGCCTCAATATAACACAAACTGTATCAGATACTAACTAAAATTCACATCCTGCTAATATGTGCTGGATCAGCAGAAGCCAAATAGGTGCTGCTGTCAGGGTTCTGGTCCTATGTTATGCATTACAGCAGGAATTGATGACCCTAATGATGTCTGGAGACAAAGGAATCTCTGCCTTCCAAGAGTTAGACAATCTCTTCAAGTGGATTGGGACCATCCATGGGGCAGCTGGTACAGCATATGAAGACCTAAGGTACAAGCTCTCCTTGGAATTCCCCAGTGGCTACCCATATAATGCTCCACAGCTTCAGACTAACAAAACATCAAAAAGGTGCTAATAACTTTGTGATGATTTAGATATGTTAATGAAGAAACTCCAAGATGACACAGATAGGAGTAAATCTGTCTCCCCCCAAAAAACCTATAAAAATGAGACAGGGTGGGGGGTGTGGCTATGCTCAGGAACCTTACTCTCATCAGAATTGGCATACATACTCAGCTGGATATAGAAATCTATCTTACCCTACAGGGAAGTAGGAGGGGAAGGGGATAAGAAAAGGGAGGGAGCTGATAGAAAGGAGAGTGCATTGGGGGAGGTGGTAGTTGGAAACAAAACACTTTTGAGAATTGACAGGGTGAAAGGAGAGAGAGTAGGATAAATGGCAGGGTGGAAATAGGATGGAGTGAAAAAAATTTTACAGTGTTTCTTTGATAAAGGCCTCATTTCTCAAATATACAGAGAACTGAGTCAAATTTATAAAAATATGAGCCATTCTTCAGTTGATAAATGGTCAAAAGATATGAACAATTTTCACAAAGTAATCAAAGCTATCTAGAGTCATGTGAAAAAATGCTCTGAATCACTATTGATCAGAGAAATGCAAATTTTTAAAAATTCTGAAGTACCACCTCATATCTATCAGATTGGCTAATATGACAGAAAAGGAAAATGGCAAATGTTGGAAGGGATGTGGGAAAATTGAGATACTAATGCACTGTTGGTGGAGTTGTGAACTGATTCAACCATTATGTAGAGCAATTTGGAACACTGCTCAAAGAGCCATAAAATCAGGAGCTTCGATGCTACTCCTGCCTCCCCGACTGCTAGGACGCTAGGACGAGCAGCTGGAACAGTCTAAAAACCAGATGGACTGGTATTGCAATCCCTCCTCTATCTCCCATTTCCTGCCAGCCCCTCGACTTCATTCTTACCAACCCTCTCCACCTCAGTTCCTGTTATCAAATCGTCTTCCAAGTCAAGGCACAAAGCCTACTTTACCTCATTTCTCAAATGTATAGGGAACTGAGTGAAATTTATAAAAATAAGAACTATTCCCTACTTGACAAATGGTCAAAGGATTTGAAAAGACAGTTTTCAGAAGAAGAAATCAAAGCTATCTATAGTCACATATATATGTATATATGTATACATATACATATATATTTTTCCTAAATCACTATTGATTATAGAAAGGCAAATTTAAACAACTCTGAGGTGCCACCTCACACCTATCAGAAATGACAAATGTTAGAGGAGAGGAGGGAAAATAGGTACACTAATGAACTGTTGGTGGAATTGTGAACTTTTCCAGCCATTCTGGAGGACAATTTGCAGCTAGGCCCAAAGGGCTATAAAACTGTGCATACTCTTTGACCCAGCAATACCACTACTATGTTTGTATCCCAAAGAGATCAAAGAAAAAGGAAAAAGACATGTACAAAATAATTAAAGCAGTTCTTTTTGTAATGGCAAAGAACTGGACCTCAAGAGGATGCTCATCAATTGGGGTATGGCTGAAGAAGTTGTGGTATACGATTGTGACGGAGTACTGTTATGCTATGGGAAATGACAATGAGAAGGTGGTTTCAGAGGGAAAAAAGATGGCAAGACCTATATGAATTGATTCAAGTAAAGTGAGAAGAATCAGGAGATCACTGTGCTCAGTAGTAACAGCAATGTTGTAATGATAATCAACTGTGAAAGACTTGGCTATTCTGAGCAATACAATGATCAAAGACAATTTGAAAGGACTCATGATGAAGAAATGGTATCCACCTCCAGAGACAGAATTGATGAATTTTAAGTGCAAGAAGTACAATTTTCTAACTTTATTTTTCATGCTTTTTTTGGCAATATGGTTAATATAGAAATATGTTTTGCTTAATTCCGTATGTATAATTAATATCATATAACCTGCCTTCTCATCAGATGGTGGAGGGTATGGGAGGGAGGAAGAGGATCTGGAACTCAAAATTTAAAAATAAAAGAATGTTAAAAAAAAAAGTAAATATATTAAAAGATGAAGGAAAAAAAAGCCTGCTTTAAAGGTGCATCTCTTCAGTGTGGCTGATGAGCTAGGTTAAAAGGAGGCAGGATGTGAAGGCACAGCTGTGCTATCCCAGCCCAGCCTCTCCCCTACAAGAGGGGCCAAAAAAGGGCATAAGACTTGTATTTGCGAAATCTAAACTAAGAAGTTGGAAGCAAAAAGCGTCTGTCAAGCATCGTAGAGGACATGGGGGCCGCGGCCGCTCGCGCCGATCCTCCTCGATAGAGGAGGTCCTCAGCCCTTGGGCGCCGGGATGTCACCTGGGAGGAGCGGGAGGCTGCCCAGCAGTACCTGCCTATACAGCAGTACCTGTATCTTCCGCGCGCGCTCCCACTTTCTCCTTTTTCCTGAGCAGTCCTCACTATTTCCAAGTTTCTCTCCCCACCCCCTACCCACAATCGCCATCTTTTCAAGCTCCAGCTAACGGGTGCCATTACTCACCTGTAAGCTGGATGAGAGCACACAGCAGAACACACGGCGGGCGGGACTGTGCCAGGGTCCATCTCAGATTCCTGGAATCAGACATAGCTCTTACCGAGGAGCATTGGGAAACGCCCGAGGGAAGATTGTCGGGCTTTTCTGAAATGCCGAGCAGAGCCTGTCAGCGCTAGTGTGAGTATTCATCCGGATGCATCCGGCTCTGGGCCTGCACGTGACTCAGCTCTATACTTCTGCTTCCTGCACTGGTTCATAAACCATAGATTTTAAACACAAATTTATAAACATGAAAAGTTGCATAAAAAGATCCCCCACTCACTCAGTCAAATTCCATTGTGATTGGTGAGTGCCAACTCACCTAGGCCCCCGTACTTGCTTTGAATCCCACCTGGGAAAGCAGAAGGAAACAAGCATTTATTAAGTGCCTACTGCATGCCAGTTGCTTTATAATAAGCCTGAAATTTAGCTGCTCATTATTATCCCCATTTTACAGTTTAGAAAACTGAGGCTGGCATAGGTTAAATGACTTGCCCAGGATCACACAGCTAGTGTCTAAAGCAGGATTTGAACTTGGGTCTCCTTCACTCAAAACCAACAGTTCTGTCTGATGCCTATAGCAATTGGTAGAGGGAGAAAGGAAGGAGAGGGGAGAGAGGAGCATTACTAGTGTGACTACTGGGTAGATGGTAAAATGCAGGGTAGGTCCTGCTTTCTGCAGGCTTGAATATGAAGCATGCTATGGAACTGACTAGATAAAGTGGGTTAGGTGAGTTTGCTCTCACTCATCTACCTGCCAATCTAGACAGTTCAGGCCCAAGGGTGAGTTCCAAAACTTATCAGATTACGGAGTCAGGGTGGGAGGCCAGGGGGAGGGTGCTAGAGGAAAGTGAGGAACACAGTCTCTTGAGAGAAGAGGCAGGAGGCAGTTGGATGGGGAGGGAGGAAGAGAGAGAGCCCACTGTCAAGGCAGGTATCAGAATACCCCTGCTTCCTGCACTGGTTCATAAACCATAGATTTTAAACACAAATTTATAAACATAAAAAGTTGCATAAAAAGATCCCCCACTCACTCAGTCAAATTCCATTGTGATTGGTGAGTGCCAACTCACCTAGGCCCCCGTACTTGCTTTGAATCCCACCTGGGTGGGACCATACAAGTCTTTCCAGGCTTTTCTGAAGTCAACCTGTTCATCATTTCTAATAGCACCATAGTATTCCATTACATTCATATACCACAACTTGCTCAGCCGTTCCCCAATTGATGGGCATCCTCTCAATTTCCAATTCTTTGCCACCACAAAAAGAGCTGCTATGAATTATTTTTGCACATGTGGCTGACCAAGTTCTAAGCACCCTATGTTATGTCCCTGTGGAATGGATTGTTCTTATCCACCCATTCCACTGGGGGAAGTCTTCACATGCTTTGGGTAGACATCCCCCTAACTCACCGTAAGTGTTTGAGGCCTATTGGTTACCTTCAACCTAGTTTAGCCTGTCTGCTAAGACGATTTTACTGGGGTGTGGCCACTGTGCATGCTACAGCTTCTTGAAGCCACAGGTAAGAGTTGGCTGAAAGATGGATGAGCAGCCTTGAAAAGGGCTCAGCAAGTCCTCACAGCGGAGGTGCTAGACCACCATGAACATCCCATACACCCCTACAAGATACATACAGAGTAGATATGAGGATGACTTGGAATGGGGAGAGACTTGATGCAAGGAGAAAAAGTGGAAGGCAATATAGTCACAGTGAAAAGGGGTGAGAACCTGAATTAAGGTGGTGACTAAGTGAACAGAGAGACAAAAGGATGCTATTAGCAGGAGACATGGAGGGGAAAAAATGACAAGACTTGACAACAGATTGGATATGTGGGGTTACTGAGGAATAGTGGAAGATGGCATCAAAGGTGTAGACCTAGGTGATTAGATTGGATGTTAGTGCCATAGACAATGATTGGGAAGAGAAATTTTACCAGTCCTTTAACCAACAATTCTGAAACAGTACTGCTCCTCTCTCTTCTGATTAGCCCCAGAAAGACTCATTTCAGAAGCAATCAGGGTGACAACTGCATTAGGGTAAGGGATCCTAGAATGATTCAGGCAAAAGCAATACTCTCTTTCTCTGTTCTGACCACATGAGGATGCTGATCAGTCCAAGAAAAAAAGAACCCTTCATTTATTGAAAGTACCTTTGATCGGCTGGAAAGGAGAATTCTCAAAGAAAGTGGTCACCACAAAAAGAGGATGTCCGGCAACTGAGGAATGGTAGAATAAGCTGTGATATATGAGTGTGATGGAATACCACTGGGCTCTAAGAAATGAGGAAATAAATTATTTTAAAGACATAGAAAGATTTAAACGAACCAATGCAGAGTAAAGTAAACAGAAAGAGAGGAATAATGTATACTATAGCTTCAATATTTACAAAAATTAACAATTTTGAGAACTTTTATAAAATGATTAAGAGTGAAAGGAACAGAAACAGGACAACAGTTTATATAACATCAAGACCATAAAAACATAGCCTGCTGGTTGCTCAGCCTGTCAAAAGTCTTTCCCCCTACCAGTCCCTCCACCACTCAGTCATCAAAGTGGTTTTCTCAAAGCAACAAGCAGTATGACCATGTCTCCTGTGGCCCCCAACTCCAGGGATTCCCACTGAAAGTTCAAAGCCATTCTTAACCTGCTGGACCTCCCCACCCCTGACACACACACACACATACACACACACACACACACACACACACACGTACTCCTTTTCCAATCTTACACTTTACATGCCATTCCACTCCCAGTGACACTGGCCTTATATCTATTCCTCAAACCAGGCATTGAATTTCCAGGGCTGTTCCCCAGGCATAAAGTGTTCAGCCTCCTAACCTGAGCCTCCTACCTTCTCTGGCTTCCCTCAAGTCCCTTCTAAAACCCTATCTTCTAGAGGAAGCCTGGCTGAATCTCTCTTCATTCTAGTGCCCTCCCTGTCAAGTATGTCCTCTTTAGCCTATCCCTAGCTCCTCAGTCTCCAGTTATTTAGAGCCTGTCCTTTGCCACATTAGACTGAGAGTTTCTTGTGGGCAGGGACCATGTTTTCCTTTTATTGTATCTCCAGCGCTTAGCACAGTGCCTGACACATAGTAGGTGCTTAATAAATATTTAAATATTACCTAGTTTGCAAAGTAAAAGTAAGAATCAAATGTGATAGTGTAGATACAGTGCTTTGTCAGCTTTTAAAGTTTTGATCTTTGTAATTGCTCCCTTCTCTTTCCTCCTCTCCCATTCCCTTCCACACCCGCCTCCCCCATGGCAGCCAGTGCTGATGGCCACAGTGGATAGTGGGTAGGACACTGGACTTAGTTTCAGAAACCATGAGTTTAAGTCCCAATTTGACAATCACTTCTGGTGTGATTTTGGGCAAGTCATTTCCCTTCCCTGTCCCTTAGTTTACTCAGATGTAAAATGAAGGGGTTTGACTAGATGGGAACTACTTATTCTTTTTCATATAATGAATTCCTTTGACACTCAACTGAAGCCTAGGGACCCCTACTCAGAATACTGTTTTGTTGCTTATATTTCTCAAGGGAATGCTAAATTTTAATTAGAGGTCTGTAAAAATAAAGCTGCTTTGGACCTCAGGTTAAGAACCTCTGAAAAAATATAAAATTTAAATTAAAAAAAAAAAAAGAACCTCTGCCCATGAAATCAGGCAATAGAAACCCGATTGAGGCTGCCCAGAGTGATTTGTCTGGAATGATGATGACCCCTGGTGGTGATGGAAGGGATCTCATGGTGGTGGGTGTTGGGTCATTTCAATTGTGTGACTCTCTATGACTCCATTTGTTTTCTTGGCAAAGATTCAGGAGTGGTTTGCCATCTCCTTCTCCAGCTCATTTTACAAATGAGGAAACTGAGGTTAACAGGGTTAAGTGACTTGCACAGGGTTACACACCTAGTAAATATCTGAGGCCAGATTTGAACTCAGTGTTGAGGTTTAGAGGTTTAGAGGTGCTAGGACCCCAAAATCACCTGGGTCCTGCCTGAATGAATTTGACCCAAGCCTTTTTTCAGCCAAAGACAAGATTTATTAAAGATTAGCCATATTGGCCAGACTCTTAAGGAATCTAAACATTTGTAACTCCCATAAAGACAAGCGGGCTTAAGCAAGTCTCATCCCCTAAATGGTGGCCAAGATGGATCTTATATATAGAAAGACTGTGGGAAGGATCTAGGAGTGGTCAAGTAGTTTGGGGTGACTGGAAGAGGGGTCTAGGAAGGATCTTGATGGGAGTGACTGGGAGGTAGAATAAGTCTAGATAGGATCAAGGGCAGGAAGTAGCCAGGGGCCAACCAGAGGTAACAGACAATAGAGGGCTAGGCTTAAATGAAGGGTAACAAAGAATTGTAAGATTGGGAGTAGGCAACAAGAAAGGCCAGTTGATAGGATTATAGCCTCAGGCAAATGCTAGAGACTTCCTTGATCAAGTAGAATTCAAGGAGAATCAGAAGACAAATGGGACCAAAATTCTTTTTGGGATAAGGGGCAAAGGCCTGGGCTGGCCCCTACCCATCATTCCCTTCTCAAACAAATGGGACCCAAATTGTTTTGGGTTAAGGGGTGGTAGTCTCTGCTTGGGCCTGTACCTGTCATCAGGAAGATGAGTCTTCCTGACTCCAGGCCTGACATTCTATCTATCCACTGTGCCACCACTAGCACATGGTAGCTAATATTATTTATTTATCATTGTCATATGCTTTATATTAAATGTTTTAATGTCACTTCTATTTTTATTACTTTTGCATTCCTGTTCAAATTCTCAAGGGCCTTCAGCAAAATAGATAATGCCCATCTATACAGATATCAGGTGGACCCCTTAGCTTTCCAAATGTACAGATAAAAAGGTCACATAGACCCCTGCCCAAGACCATGAGAGCAGGTTCCCATCTCTAGAGGTGTGTGCTATAATTACAGTTAGCCGTGGGAGGAGTCAGATATCCTTCTTCTCCTCCCCCCCCCCAAACAATTGTAATGCCAAAAAACCCCAAAGATTTGGTTTGGGGTTAGATGCAACAGATAACACCTTATTGCCCCACCCAATTAAATGCTACGAAGTTCAAAGCAAGATCAAGGTGCAGAGGGGCAGCTAGGTGGCACAGTGGATAGAGCACTGGCTCTGGAGGCAGGAGGACCTGAGTTC